AAAAAAAAAAAAAAAATTAAAACACTATATTCAACAGTATATTCAACACATCCCAGGAGGAAGAAGTATTTAATTGGAAATAGATCTGAGAGAATCACCTAGAATGCAGTACAAACATACAAAAAGAAAATATGAAAGGAAGGTTAATGTAGAAGGCAAAGAAAGAAGGTCCAACATATTGCCAATTGGAGTTCAACCATGGAATGGGGGTGATATTTGAAGAAACAATGGCTAAACAGCTACTCGGGAGGCTGAGGCAAGAGAATCACCTAAGTCCAGGAGCTGGAGGTTGCTGTGAGCTGTGACACAGTATAGTACTCTACAGAGGATGGCAAAGTGAGGCTCTGTCTCTAAAAGAAGAGAAAAATAAAATAAATAGAAACAATGGCTAAAAACATGTCAGAACTGAAGGAATACTTAACCTCTTCCAATTGAATAAGGACATGGCGTCCTGAACAGGAAAATGAAAACCAGTCTGTACCTAGGTGCCTCATGATGAAACTGTAAGCGTCAAATAGAGAAAAATGTTTAAAGCTACCAGAAAGAAAATGCACATTACCTATGAGAGATTGGCAATTAGAGTAACAGGAAACTTCCAAAAACAACCCCTACGGCACAGGTAGAGTGGAATACTATCTTCAAAGTGCCAAAGGAAATTACTTGTCAAGCTACAAATCTATGCCTTTTAAACCTCATCCAAGAATAAATGTGAAATAAACACATTGTCAGACAAAATGAGACCACTGCTGAAAGGATTATTAAAAAATGTTCTTAAATAAGTAAAAAGTTGAACTCAGAGGAGTAAAGTGCAAGAAGTAATGGTAGTCAGAGAAACACATCAGTAAATCTAAACTGACGTGGAGTGTGTGTGTTACAAAGACTATTTTAAAAGTGAGTTAAAGTGTAAATACTAAAGAACATGGAAAATCGGAATCAGTAGGCTAAAGAGAAAGTATCCTGAATAGTTTCTGTGTCTCGTGGGGAAGCTGTTGATTAACTTCAGATCTTTAAGTGTGCAAGTCCATAACTTAAGAATAATAATTAAAAAAAATAATTAAAGTACAAAACAAGAATGTATACTTCGTAAATCCCATTAGAGGGAAGGGATTAAAAGGCGGCATCAATTCAATAAAAAGAAAGAAAGTAGAAAGAAGGGAAAGAGGGAGGAAAGAGAGTTAAAATGGTAAGGAAAATCCAACTATGAATAATCATGACAAATGAAGACAGATTAAACCAAGCAATTAAAATACAGTGACTCTTAGATTTTTTTTTATTCCAGCTTTTTGCTATTGATAATTTACATGTGTGAAGTATAATCCTGTGGGGCATTTGAAACTAAGGGATTAAGGGAAATGGAGAGGGGGTGATGCCAGAAAAAGTTTAAAGAGAACAAGAAAAAGAAAGAGAAAGGACAAAAACCAATATGAAGATCAAACAAAACTTTTAGGCCAAAAAAAAAAAAAAAGGAATAAAAACGATACTATTTAGTGATAGAAGGAAAAAAGTCACCAAAGAAGAAACCCAAATGGTCAACGTTCAAAAAAAGTGTTGAATCTACTGGGGACGATAGAAATAAAAGCAGCAGTGGCTACCCTTTCAACCCATATGCGATGGAAGAAAATTCAAATTGGATAATGAGGAGCATCCACATTGGATGTGGAGTCAGGGCGCTCTTGAGCCCTGCTCCTGGGCCTGACAGCAGAGGGCGTGCACAGATCTGCAGAGGACATGCACAGATCTGCGGCTCATCGGGTCTGTTTCCATCCTGCATCCTACAGAAATGCTCGAGGATGTCCCTCGGGTATCAGGTGTCATAGCAATACAGAGGAAACAACCCCGTATCCATCAGTAGTGGAATAAGTATGTAAATTGTGATCTATTCAAACAGATGAAGCTTGAAGCAGTTCAGACAAATTAACTTAGAGTTACCTGCATTAAAATAGATACAGCTCAGAATTACACGTTGAATAAAAATAAATTGCAGAACGATATGCATATCTAATTTCAAATTTACATAAAACAAAGCAATACTGTATGCTGTTTTTATAGATACATACATGTGTGGTAAAATACACACATCTGAAGCCGCATTGTCTCAAAAAAGGGGGGGGAGGGGGAAGAAAAAGAAAGAAATATACACCTCTGAGAGGAAATGATCATTTCCCCAGAGGAGTGGTTCCTTTCTTAAATGAAGACAAGATGGATGGGACCAGGGTGAAGACAGAGTGTTAACTCTGCTATGTTTAAATTTTAAAAAACTGACACACACATGGCAGAAATAATAGCATTTGCTGGTGTTGTTAATTCTGGACGGTAGAGCACTGTGCTCCTGTGATTAGTGTGTGGGTGTTTATATTTCCTTAATTAAAAATGGCTTCTAGGCATAGGAATCATGGTAATGTAGAGAAAAGCGCGCCGTGCTTCACTCTGTGTTCTCCAGAAGGGGCCTTTGGAGTTGAGATACAAGAGATTGCTGCTTGTTGAAGGGAGCCCTGGAAGAGGTCTCTCGAGGTTTCGTTCCCGTGTCATCCTCAGAAACGAATTTGCCATCACCACTCTATTTTTATTTCTTTGGCCTTCGCCAAGTCCTTTACCGTTTTTCACTAATGGTCTATTTTTCACTTTGTACAGTCTTACCCAGGGCCCCTCAAAAGGCTGGTTACTTTGAGGGAAAACATCTAAAAAACAAAGTGATGCCTTGCTTCTCAAGGAAAGAGAAAATAAGGACTTCTGTTGTTATAGAACCCTGGATTTTATGGAAACATTTAGCTGATAGGGGCAGAGGATTGGTTGGTTTTGTGTGGAAACATTTGTATATATTGTGCTAAACTCCCACGTCTCAATCTCTCTATCAGAGAGATTGCATTGCTACACATAGTTGACAGACATGTCCCAGGACCTCTGTATGGAAAGCCCGTACAGAAACAGGCCATCACTTTTCTCAGATCCCGACATCTAGCCCAGTCCTTTCCAAATAGTAAGGGCTTAGTATCTGTGGGCACAAAGGAACAAGAGTCTAAGGGCTTTGCCCCCCCGTCACCGCAGCCCCTCTGCTTTATGGATGAGCTCACTACAACACACACCACATTACTCTTGACATAAAATTATCATGGCACGTTTTGAAAAGACTGGTTTCAGCACTTCTGACACGTTCTTACAGGTTCCTCGTAAATGACCCAGCAGTGTCTAGAAGCAGTTTACCAATCACTATGAAAGGCATCTAACTTGTCTTTTAAATACACATCTGTTCCATGTTGAAGCCAAAAGGAAAATTCTGACTCAGATCACTTACTAAGCTGCCTCGGGCTGCCAGGCTGGGTCTGACAGTGAATCTTGCATTCTCAGACATTGTCCTCTTTTCCTTTGCAGAGAGAAGATGCATCAGTCTGCCATGTACGAACTGTGCCAGGGGATGCACCAAATCAGCCTTCAGTTCGTCCGACTGCAGCTTACCTTTGAAGAGTACACCATAATGAAAGTCTTGCTGCTACTGAGCACAAGTAAATTGATGTCTGCCCCGACACTCGTTCTACACTGTCAGATCATCTCCCCTGTACGAGGGTAGCCTATTTATAGTGTTCAGGTGATGGTACAAAAAAAAAACCCAAACAAAAACAAAAAGCATGAAGAAATGGGAGGAAGGTTTTGGCCTTGAGGAACTAGGTTACTTGCAGAGTATGACATTTTGGGCGTACAGAAAGGGCATATTCCTTCAGTCTTTCCATACTTCGCCCATCCATACAAGTAAATATTTATTAGGTGTCTGTTATGTGTATGGTAAGATCGGGCAGGTCAGGAAACACAAGGGTTAATGAAGCACAGTCTCTAACTTCAGGGAGCTTATATGAATAAACCAAGTTCTAAGACATCTTTGATATATGTGGAAAGGGATTGTTTACTATGCTAGAGGCACTAGTATCATGGTGGCTTATAGAAGGGAAGAGCCCATCGGTTCTGGGGATCTGGTAGGGAACCAGAGTGCAGCTGGATCTAGGTGGGCTTTCCTAGGGTTGAGGACCGGACAGGAGTGCTGTGACATCGTGCTGTCAGGGAGCAGTGTGAGTGGGTGTGGGGGTGTGAGAAAGCATGTTCAGGCCGTGGCATGTAGTTCCAGGGGGTGGGGAGCTTGTTTTGCCTTTCAGTTTTTAGTTTTTATTTTATTGATGTATTTATTTAGGGAATAAGTTTGGGATATAGATTGTACCAGATTATTCAATGCCTATTGAAGAAATCTGGACCTTATCAGGCAGGCAGGGAAGTATAACACTGAAGGGTTTGAGCAGTGGGATGACATCAGAGCTGTGTCTTGTGGCTTTAAGAGGACATAGCTGATAGTGGGGGGGACTCAAGGGGAGGGAGAAGAGAAGGGAAGAGACAGTCGGAGACCTTTGCCTGACTGAAAGCACGGAGTCCTGCTGGGAGGTATTGAAATAACAGCTTGGTTCATGGTGCCAGGTGCTATGGCGGCCAGGAGCAGGTGGACTCGAGGCATTGCAGAGTCGGTCTGACACCTGCCTGGAAGGGGAAGTGAAAATGCTGCAGGTCAGAAGCAATACAGGTTTTAAGCACAGAGAAATCACTAGCTCAGTAGCTCTGCCGTTGATGGAAATATGTTAATGTCGAGGCTTGGAGCAGATGAGGTTAAGATGTGTTAAGATGAGGTCTGTTTTAGATGGGTTAATTTATTGATGCCAACTCTGTATTCTGATAGAGTTGGCCAAAAGGGGGGAAAAACTGGGGACTGGAACACTGAAGACAGGTTTGGATATTGAGATATATAAATTTGAAATTATCCTGAGAAAAAACCATGATGTAAACTTTAGCGGTTAGTGGGGTACCTTGGTACAGAAAGAAGAGGAAAGAGCCCGTAGAGAGGGTGTGAAAGGAGGGTTGGCAGAGGCTGAAGGGCCAGAGACAGCACCACAAGAGGAGGCAGAGAAACTGGGAGCGTGTTTGGTTTTGGAAGCCAGGGTTGAGTTTCTGAAAGGGGGTATGCCTGACAAACAGCATGGCGTCCACAGAGAAAGCTGGGAACACTGACTAAAGGATACTGGGGTTGACCTAATGGCATGGGACTGTGCCAGAATGCCAGGAACTTGTAGCCTAATGGGAAGCTTTTTTCAACTTCTGGAACCATGTGTTGGAAGAAAGAAGTTGATGGTGTAAAGTGCCCGAGGAGACGAGAGAGGACAAGATCAGCCCTGGCCAGGATGTTGCACACTTGTTCCTCAGACAGCGGCATAGGAATTTTCAGAGGGGAAAGAATCTGAGGAAGCTCCATCAGAAGGGGGCAAGACCCAGAATGATGACAGGGGACAGCACCAAGCGGAAAACTCTGGAGACAAGTGCCATGGCCATTGAGGAAACTGAGAAATGTTCTGTATGTCAAGAGCCAGTAGGAATGCCACAGCAGGTGGTGTGGGCGTCAGGAGAGGGGAGGTGCCACTGAGGGGCTGGAAGCAAAAACGAGGGTCTGGTCCTTTCCCTGTGCAACTCCTGGGCCTCCAAACCAGAGGCGTGGGGAAAGGGTCAGCCTTCAGGAGAGCCATTGTGGTCAGGACAGAATGGGGGAAAGGAGATCAGTGGTCAGTCCCAGCAGAGGAGACCTGGGCCTGCGACAGGGAGCGGGAATCAGGCAGTGATGAGAGCAGGAAGAGGGGATACAGTGGTGACTGGGGATAATCATCCTGCTTCACTTATGCTCAGCACCTCTCCGTGTGCAAAGTGTTTTCTGAAATATTATCTAATTTAGTGCTTAAAATAACCCCGGGAGGTTGATGGTCGTGTTCTAAAGTTGACAAAATGTAGATGCCCAAGTGCGATTGGTCTCTAGGATTCAAACTGAAGGCCTGGGACGTCTCCTCCACTGCTGTCTGAGCTCCTCCCAGGAATGTTTCAGTTAGGTGGCACAGGATGGCAGCGGGAGCGTGGCAGTGCCCAGTGGGCAGAATCTCAGACTCCGCAGCGGGCGGAGGGGGGCAAACCGCAGCCCTGGTGGGGAGATGGGGCCAAGAGTTCACAGCTGTGTTTTGTTTGGCCAGCACAGGATTTTTGGGTTGCTTTTGGCCTTTTTGTTTTGTTTTATTTTCATTGAATTTGACTGCCCGGGGCAGGGCATGTTCTCTCCAGTTTGCCACAGGCCCCACCATTCCTCACTGGTAACGCCCAG